GTTGGAAGGGGAGTGCGACACACTTCACCTCTCCAACAACAATAACGTGGCAATGAATCGAAGGGACGAATGCTTGTCAATAACACGGGAGCTAGCACCGTATGTGAGACTAGCATTCCATCCTAGACTCTAAATGCGATACTTTTCTGAAAAGATCAGAGGTCTGATAAAGGAATGGAACATCATTCCTTGTGGGGTTGTGTGGCGGTTCAGTTTACGTCGAAGCCCGGTATAGGTAAGTGAGACGTTTGACCGTGTATTCACAAATTGAGTTCTACCCTTTAGGCTCCGAAGAAGGCGACATCGCCGAAACGTTAGCCGCCAATAAAGGTTTTGATAACAACCTCGTGAGCAGTTTGAAAGAAATCGTTAAACTATTATATCTTTGATGCCGAGGTTCATTGAGAGCCGAACGTGGCAATAACGTGGCAGTTCAAACGTAAATATGTAATTGACAAGAATTGAGGATAAAGTTTCTCCTTGAGGTACGCCGCTGTACATTTCCCTAGGTTCAGAGAAGGCATCACTAACTCAGACGAGGTAAATTCTATCACTATGAAAGTCCTCGATCCATGCCAGAATCCTTGGGTGAATACCGACGAAAGTGAGCTTGGTGATAAGTCCAGCGTGCGAAACTCTGTCAAAAGCCTCAGCACAATCCAGATAGATAACATCAGTTCCCAATCCATTATCCCGATGGGATGTCCAGTCATTCAACTTATGATTGGAGCATCACAGTCACTGTAGATTCACCTTTCCGGCACATGTTGATATTCCGAAATAACGCCAAATTCGTCTAAAGGTCTCACTATCCTTTTCTTCAACAACTTTTCGAACAGCCTGGCAAGAATCTAGGTTATACTTACTGCCCTGCAGTTGGGAGGACAAGAATGCGATTACTTTTTGGGAATCGGAATTAGAAAAGATACTCTCCGTCGCAGTGGTGCCCCAGCTCGCGTGAAACTCAAGGCCAACTAACTAATAACTTGGAAATTTCGTCGCTATGAAACCAAATAGAGTCTACCATGACAGGGAATGCAGGAATAACATCTGACTCTACATCTTCATCCTTCAGGTAAGCCTTATGAAACACATCAGCTGACACTTCTGCCTTTTCCTTTTCATTGGTTATCACTCCAAACTGTGCATCAAGTAGAACCTCAAGTGCTTTTTTTTACTAACTATAAGTCTAGTATTGAGACCTGCAAAAATTATTCTTACTCTTGGACAAGATAATTTTCTTTTCAATTTGACTACAGAATTGATACAATCGTTTCTCGAATATAGAACTCAGTTCCTATATGGTTCCCAGAGAGTCGCACCATCACCAATACGAACCTTTCTCTATAGAAAACTCTTTTTCCGGCTTACCATTAGTCTCTCCAAATGTTGTAGTAAATGCTCATGCCTAATTTTATGCGTCATGTCTGGAACAAATGAATTGATGGAATGATGAAGAATGCTTAAAAACAACTAATATTTGTCATGCACCGTATGCGGGATACTTCTCGAAACAAAACTCACGAACTCAAGTGCATGGCGCATTCCAAGGTGATACTCTCTTGAAATTATAAACATTTCCTTATAGAACTCGACAATCTGAATTCAACGGTATTTACAGATTTGGAGAATCTCAGCGTTGAACTGAGTTAACGAAAAAACGAAACAAACGCGTTGCGTTTTCCGCGTGAATTTTTGAAGTTTCGCCGACATTTTGAGATGTTTCAAACCGTTCTCTGCTTCGGCCAACTTCAAGAACTACGATGAGATGAGTCACGAGTCCTACCACGATAACAACACGCGGCACGCCTGGTGGCTACCTCGCAGCCTGGACCCACCATCTCAACCAAAGCCCGAGCTCTTTCATCAGAGGATATTACCCCCGGTTTGTTGGATTCGCTGGGTATTGTTTTGAGAACCATTTCACTTTATGCAGACAAGCATTGCGACCGTAACCATTGGATACGTGCTCCATACGTATTCTAAACGGGATACCTAGCGAATCCAACAAACCGGGGGTAATATCCTCTGATGAAAGAGCTCGGCTTTGGTCGAGATGGTGGGTCCAGGCTGCGAGGTAGCCACCAGGCGTGCCGCGTGTTGTTATCGTGGTGGACTCATGACTCATCTGCACTGGTGACCAACTAGGGAATGTCTTGTCTATACGGTCGCAGAATGAAACTTCTGCAGATGGTCAGGCATGCTTCTCGGTCATGGTCAGTCGATGCATGCTGTACCGTGTACCTTCTTCCGCTTCTCTATCGACCCACTTTGCATCTGTTTCCTTTCTTTTTCACTTGTTCAGGTCAAGCTGTTGTGTCCTTCTGCAAGAAAAGGAAAGCCGACCTATTCTCCACTGAGATGTTGGTAGCAGCACAGACTGGATGGGGCACGCACAGAACAGTAGTTTAGGTCACTCAATAGCGTGAACTGAACCTAGAGCATAGGAAAGGTGAGCAGAAAAAATTCAGAGGTTCGAGTGTTCGATTTACAACCCCAATTAAACCAAAGCTCAAATCTGTTAGGAGCTCTGAGTGTGAATTTGTCGCTTCATTATCGCCACAGAGAACGATCCCGACCTTCTCCCTATCGTTAGTGATCTCTTACTGGTCAAAGGCAGGGAGGGTGAGCTAGGAAGAGGGTCAGCAGAAGATCGTTGGATCATTCTCTCATCACATTGGGGGGGGGGGTTAGAGGAAAATCGTCCAACCCCATACTACTAGCGGGCAGTGTTCCGGCTCACCTCCTTGCCACTATTCTTCAGTAGTAGTTGTAATATGCCAGCATATCATGTTTAATGGTTTCCGTAGAAAAAAGGATAAAGCATTTGCCGTTGATCAATCCCTTTTTGGGATGCGGCACGCATTCTACTTCCATTTGTACATTCGTAGTGGCGTTTGAATGCGATGTGGCCTATACAATGACTTGCGGGGGCCAGCCGATGTAGTCAGTTTTTATCCTCCCAGACAAGTCTGGTACCAATTAACCGACCCCGGAGGGATGGAAGGCTTGGTTGGCCCGGGCGACTCACGACCCAGGATTTGATCCCCGGACCGCTCGCGTGGTAAGCGTGCCACTTGCCACTACACCACTTCCGCCCGGTTTCCGTAGTGGTCGTAGTAATTCATATTTTTATATTACATTATAAATCATATCATCATATCATATGTGTTCTACATATAGTCCTTTCAACAGGGCAGAAGTGGTGTAGTAGCAACTGGCTCTGCTTACCACGTGCGCGGTCTGGGGTCGAGACTTAGCGCGCGTTTTCCGGCCAACCAAGCCTTCCATCCCTCCGGGGTCGGTTAATTGGTACCAGACTTGTCTGGGAGGGTAAAAAAAACACTGACTTACATCGGCTGGCCCCCGCAAGTCATTGTATAGGCCACATCGCATTCAAACGCCACTACGAATGGGAAATTATCGAATGCGTGCCGCATCCCAAAAAGGGATTGATCGATGGTGAATGCTTTATCCTTTATCCTTTATAGTCCTTTCAAACAACCTAACCTTTTGTTTAGTGTGCAGTACGACGAGCATAGACGAACTATTCCGGGTTCTGAGTAAGGAGTGCACACACATTAATGCACTGCTCCCGTTCTAATTTTCCTTTCGAGGCATTTTTGGGCGCCATTAAGGTGGCCTCCTTCCAGTAATGGGTTCCGCAGTGCTTCGTGTTTGAAGAGCGCAAGTGCTGCCCAAACGACTTTGTCCTCTGCGACCACATTAAGAATGTGCCGTTGTTCTCTTCTTCTAAACTAGAAAAGAAGTAGCAATATTGCCGCCAAAGCCATCCATAACAGAACAGGCAGTTCTACCTTCTCCACTAATTGTCATTATTGTGCCTCACTTCAACAGAAAATTCGGAACTAATCTGCTAATTTTTGCCGTTCAAAAGAATAAGCAGTAAGGCCGCGTTCATAGTTCGCGTCATGGGAAATTAGGATAGTGGTAGAGAAGGATATTGCGCTGAAAAGTTTCGATAACTTAATCGCGCTATTTCAAAGAGTTCATGTGAATTGCTGGAGAGTAGAAGTTAGGGGTCTTTAGCCCAATGGATCAATACTTATCTAATCATTTCAGCGCACTATCCTTGTCTCCTACTTTCCTAATATCCTAAACCACTACTATCCTACTATCCTTATTACCGTGACCTACTACTACTTAGCGATTTATTCGATACCTTCAAGCAGCGAAATATTTCTACTCCAGTTACTATACCCATAACCAATAGAGTCTTTTATCATTGCCGCTACTATGCTAATTTACGGAACGGGTTCATCAAGGTATAAAGGCTGCCAAAGGAGATCGTTGGACGAATCTATCTTCATGGCAAGGTACCTATCCCGAAATATGGACCCCTTACCACCCTTCCTCAAGATTATATGATTGTCCATGAGCTCAAGCTACCGTATGTTACTCGCAGATTGTTGAGCACATGCCCTTCGGTTGTTGTAGTGATGTTTCGCAAGCGTCTGCGGCTTTGAAATTTACATCCTACTTGAGATCACTCCTTTTCCGAAGCTTTTCTGCACTTTCGTTTCTCGCTCAGCACCACTTCGTTCAAGGAGTTAAGACAACGGTGAGAGAGTGGGGTAAATGACGGCTGAAGAGTATGGTCCGTAACTGGGCTCGCTTAGTGCGTTCCATCGAATGACTTGTGGACCATTGTGAGCTCTCCGGCCTTTTGCAGCGCGAGCATCTTAGGCGTTGGATTACGAGTGGCCGCACATGAGAGAGCGCATTCGAGGCGGAAACCGAAAACCGTGAAACGCCCGGATACCAAAGATTGGACCCCTCCTGCGGCGTCCCATTCCTTGAGTTCCGGCCGTCTTCACGGTTGTCTCTTCATCCTGGGCGCAATTGACGATACGTTACGCCTCTGATATTCTGGGCGAATTGAACCACCTTTATCGATGAAACTTACCTTGACGGATAGGCAAGGCTTCCTTTCGGTAGTGTACCCATTGGTCGTTGCCTAAGCAGGTTTGTAGAATTTGCGACATTTCGTGGTTGCGGTTTCAGTGGCTGCCTATAGAAGAATCAGTAATTGAAGTGTAGCAACGTAACCAAAATCAGTTTGAGCGATCCATTTGTCGAATTCTTTTGACCGGCGTTATCGCAATGTACGGGGGCATCCTCTAGGACTGATCCCAGGAGGGGTCAGCAAATCCGAAGAAGTGATAGAGTCTTACGATCTGGAATCTCTTCTCCCCCGCCTGAGGCCTAGCCGCGTTTTATGAAATGGGACGATCTTAACACGGTTCTAAATTAGATTGCCGCCAAAATGCCCCCATACCTTGCAATAGCGCCCTTTTGATTACCGATCTGGAGTGCGTTTCTTTTCTAATTCTCGAGAGACAAGGTGCATTGCTATATATATTAGAGAGATATGTTGAGTGGTAAGTGCAAAGACATTCCGAATCGCTAAGCTATGCATGAGCCGTGTATTTTTGGACGGAGGGCGCTTTCTGTAACATCTGCGTTCGCGCTCATGAATTACTAATGCGCTGCACACTCAGTCGTTTGGTTTAGTAACAGTGCATTATTCTTCACTAACAGTATTGTCAGCAACAAGTGCGATATTTTTGCATGACTCTATTCACTTGTACTTACTGGTCAATCCTATTCTCGTGACAGCAGTGATTCCGGACTATTCCGACAAGGAGCGGTCGGTTCGGCCTTTTAAAATAACCACGAAAGCGCACTACAGCAAGCATGCACGACATTAGAAAATGATACGAGCAGGTCGAGCTCAGCGAAGTTTTTAGAACATCCTTTACGTATACCTTTTTAGGTCTGCCGAGCTGAAGCCAGGTGGTACAATTAAAGACAAAGTTCGGGTTCAGACCCACCCAGGAAGCCCTTACCATGGCTCGAAGTGCTGGGTACGCAAATTCACAATTAGCGCCAGCTAACGCTTTCTCTGCTAATCACTGAAATCAAATGGCGAGAGGGTGGGTGGACAACAGCGCGGGGTTAGCTCTGCTAGGCCGTTGTGGAATACTCCTCGCTAAAAGGTGAGCATCGTCCTGTACCCTAAGGCGGCCCGCCTGCCTTTCGGCTAGGCAGATTTCCCCTTCTTCGACCTCCGACTTTGTCGCGAGATTCGCTTATATACTGTAACACGACCAAAATCAATGAGTAAGCCTTCCGCATTCGAGAACATCTAGGGAAGCAAAACATCTTTGCACAAAGGTAAATTGTCAAGTGTTTTCCTAGTTCTCGCCGGTGAATGGGTTCCGGGCGGCAATCATCTCAAATCGCTGGGAATTTCACAGCAGGGCACCACTTTTGAAAGGCATAAACCAGCGCTCCGAACGAATAATACCTCTTTTCTTGTCAATGAATATAGCACCGAGCTTGCCAATTCCTTGTGGCTATAAAATGGTGCTCTTGCTGTAAATCATGTGCTTTAGTACCTATTCTGACTAAAAGGCCTTTCAAGACGCTGTCCAAACGAGAACTTCGCCAAAGTATAGGCAGCCTCTACCGCCTCATGGTATGGGCGAATCGCGGTCGAGGTCAAATGTGTGGTTTATACCAGGTATTGTGAATGTCGGTCCTTCTATTGACATGTCCCTTTCCAAAATTATCTGATTGAAATTACTCGCATAGAATCCCTTTCAACGAGCGGACGCTTTCCTACTGCCATAAGTATTACGCACTGTTCACTGATCATTTGGAATTAGAAAAAAATGACTCCTTCAAATCCAGGAGAGCCTTTTCCTTACATTTCGCTTTCTTCCGTAATCTATATTTTTTTTCCTGCGTGATGCCTTTCTGAAACTCACCACTATGTTTTGCTGTGATCTGCCTGCTTTCGACCGCAGGTCACCTGCCAAATGTTTCATAGAAAAGCTGAGTTGCGAAAAAACTTTCGCTCCAGGCGGGACTCGAACCCGCACCTTTCGCTTACCGGGTAACGACCGTAAATTGCTCCTTGGTAAGCGAGAGGTACAGGTCCGAGTCCCGTCTGCGGCGAATTTTGTTCATAACACCACATTGTTGTGGAACGCTCACTACTGTTTCACAAGAATGCTGGGTTGTGAACAAAACTTTCGCCCCAGGCGGGACTAGAACCCGCACCTCTCGCTTTCCGGGCAAGTGCGCTACCAGTTACGCTATGTGAGTGCTGACAAGCTATGGTAAGTATACCATGAAAAGCTGAGTTGGAATGAAATGGTGCCCCGGTAGCGTAACTGGTAGCGCACTTGCCCGGAAAGCGAGAGGTGCGGGTTCTAGTCCCGCCTGGGGCGAAAGTTTTGTTCACAACCCAGCATTCTTGTGAAACATTCGCAAGGCGAACTGCGGCCAAAAACAGCAGTTAACAAACAAAAACAAGTCACTACTATCTTTTTTGTTTTACGTAACTCACTCTAAAGCTTATTGTCAGAAGGTTCAGCTGGATCGGAGCTGTCATCAGATCTCATCGATACAGCGATATTTCGTGCCTGGCATCATGCTTGAAATGCTTGGTTATCATATCAAGGACAATCGACCTCTGTTTAGGCAGCCTAATGACGTGCGCAGTTAGAAAGTCAATATTGCCTTCCACGTCATTAACACGCTTCACCAAAACCCTACTGTTAAAATTGCTCGTTTGCGTAATCTGATGGTGAGCTTATGCTCTTCTTGAACGAATCAAGACGGAACGTGGCAGAGTGCGGTCCCAAGGGGCACTACTCTACTTTTTTGGTAGGTAAAGACAGTTGAAGTCTATCGATTGCTCTGCAAACTTATATTACTGAATGTGCTCCCTCAGAAATTGTTTGCCGCAAATCCAAGGTTAAGACAACGAAAATGAAACGTTCCCTTGATATTGCCATCAAACAAAGGCACGGTGGCGAACTAAGGGTGTTACTCACATCTACAGGTGGGGAGGGGGGGGGGGGCAGCAAATATTCATTTTGCCCATGGCGCACATCAGCAAACGTTTGATGGAGGAGGGTGCCACTCTTCACAGATGTTTCAAAGAAAAATATTCAAGATGTTTCAACCCCTCCCTTCATGATCGGAAGAAGACTCTTCTTAACGGCTTCACTGGAGCATCATGCATACTCTGGCCTGGGCTTCAACAAGAACGCAACGCAGATCAGAATGACCGGCATACACAAGCCATAGAAGGTATACGGCAGCATATGACAAGAAGGATGGAAAAGAAACTTCCAACGCTCTTCGGGCTTCGAACCGATGGGAGTATGAGTGGCGCACCTTCTATGCAGGCTGCGGGTTTGTTATGGATACGAAATAGAGGCAAAAGAAAGGCAGCTGATATAAAAAGTAATCGCTTCCAAGATTGCAAATGACATCCTCAGATCGTAAACCGAACTTAGCAAGATTATTTACGATACTTATTTTGAAAGCATTAAAGGATAAAAAAGGATAAAGCATTTGCCGTTGATCAATCCCTTTTTGGGATGCGGCACGCATTCTACTTCCATTTGTACATTCGCAGTGGCATTTGAATGCGATGTGGCCTATACAATGACTTGCGGGGGCCAGCCGATGTTCAAGTCAGTGTTTTTATCCTCCCAGACAAGTCTGGTACCAATTAACGACCCGAGGGATGAAGTCTTGGTGGCCTTTTTTAGCTCAGTGGTGAGGTGAAAATCTCTTTCGTTGAAGTGGAGGCTTACTCCTTTTCCATACACGTGAAGTGGCTGGAAGTTTTGATCGTTAAAAACTCGCTCGCCGAGGCCAAGTGCTTAGAGACCTCTCAAAAAATATGTAGACGGGCGAATTTTGCAGAAAACGAATTTTAGGGGTCGTCTGATAGTAAGTTTTTAGTGTCTAGCTTTTTCACATGTCCAGCGATCTCCAAAGAATTTATGCAGAAGAGGTACGTCCCGTAAAAGCTCTTCAACTCGCGTTTGCACAGAACTTGGGGTTTTTTTGATATATGAACTTGGGAATAACTTTGCTATTTCTTTGATAGAAAACAATTTAATTCTTTGAAATTTTTTAGTTCATTCTCAACATCGGCATTTATAAGAAGAGTGCCAGTGAAGTAGAAAGTGCCGCATTTCTTCAAATTCTACCACTTGATGACAGAAGAACTAGAACCTTTAAAGGAAGCATGGAAAGCCATCTGATGTGCAACAGTTCTATGCTGATGACAAATGTGTGGCCAGAAAGATTGATGTATGATGCAACAGTTCCACTCGTGGTGGCCTCAGAAGCTTATCCTTCCCTTCGTTTTCGATCACTTACCTATATGACTTCTTGAAATACTCCTTTCTTCTCGCTAATTGAGTGAGGAATATGTAGGTGTGATTTCTGTCCTCTGGTTTGCTTGTTTATTCAATTTATCCAGGTTTATCTTTAATGTTTACTTCCTCTACCTGTGTGTAAGAACGCGTCATTTAAGACGCATAAAATAAAGGATAAAGGATAAAGGATAAAGCATTTGCCGTTGATCAATCCCTTTTTGGGATGCGGCACGCATTCTACTTCCATTTGTACATTCGCAGTGGCATTTGAATGCGATGTGGCCTATACAATGACTTGCGGGGGCCAGCCGATGTACAAGTCAGTGTTTTTTCCTCCCAGACAAGTCTGGTACCAATTAACCGACCCCGGAGGGATGGAAGGCTTGGTTGGCCCGGGCGACTCACGACCCAGGATTTGATCCCCGGACCGCTCGCGTGGTAAGCGCGCCACTTGTCACTACACCACTTCCGCCCCTACGCATAAAAATGCAACAAAGAATAATTTAACAACAAATAAATGAAGCATGACGATTATCTTGTTCTTCGCAGCTACGAAGGCCGAGACAATTGCCTCACTGAAGGCCGAAGAAGGAAATGAAAAGTGTTTTAGTCGAATCTATATCGCTCAGTTTCAAAGAAACAGCAGCCCTCGTCCTTCATCTCAGAGTAATAGTTTATCTGAATGTGGAACAATAAATTATTTAATAGCAACAGAAGATCGACACCTGCACCGACCCCGTCTTCTCCCCTCAGGGTTTTCGCATTGTTTCTGCAAAGACTACCACTTTATTGTTTCTTTTCTCGAGAACATTTCGGGTCATGTCAGAAGCGCTACTCCGCCAAGGACGAAAATTGCATTCACTGTATGTCACTGTCCATAGCACCCCGTCGTCCTACCTTGCGGGCTCAGGGGAGTTGGTTTTGGTTGTGTTCACGGTATGGACGCAAACAATTCCAACATACTTTGTGGAATCTCTTTACGGAGCAATAAAACCATGTATTTCAAACAGGCCCTCACATTATGCGGTGAGTAGATTAAAAATGCATCTTTTCAAGGGTAGCTTGGCTGACCCAGCTAGCTTGATGAATTCGAAGGTAACAAGAATCAGACCACATTCCAAGGTGAGGATAATCGCTCGGAAAGGTGCTAAACCTGATATGGTGGGAAAAAGAATTTTCAGATAGTGCCTCAAACTCTTAAAAGAGTTCTGAAGTCTTAAGTCACCCTGTACAGTGCTTCTGCAAGAAAGATGCAAGTTCGGCACTTTGCTGGTCTGTTACCCTAACTTCTGAGTTCGTCGTTAATGAATTTGTGCAGCAAAATGAACCTCTTTGTCCCTTTTGGGTCTGAAGACCTTTCTGTTTTTGAGCGAGCAAATCCAGGCAAAAATCAATTTGAAAATGTGTGTCCTTGGCTAATCAAAGTTTCTTGAGTGACGGCGTCCAGAGTGTTTTCCACTGTTACGAATCAGCCTGCAACGGATTGACATCTCGTTTGTCCTCGACGCTGCTGAAAGCTGACCATGATTAAGTAGGGTTGTTCACTCAGCAGCTGGTAGAGCCGTTTTAGTACGTCTATGGGAAGTCTTGCTAATGCAGAAATTGTCCATATTCCACTTCAGAACTTGCTTTTTCTTTGCCTTCATTTCTATCTGCTTTTTTCATCTCATTTTTCGTATCCTCCTCCATTGATTTTAGATTGCAGAGTATGTCAAAAAAGCGTTTTTGATAGGAACTTCTCTTGATTTTACACCTTTTTTTCGAGACTTCTTGAAGATTGGCGGGCGGGTTATGTGAGTTTCGTTCTGTCAAAATACGAGTCTCTCCGAGTGAATGTTGCAAAAGGCTCTTGCAAAAGGCTCCACCTCTATCTCAAGGGGTAGAAGATAAAGCTAACATCCTTGGTTAGTCCATCGAAATGAACCAACTAGGAAGTATGCAATAAAATTGAGATAGCGGGCCACTCGCACTGATTGCGCGCCCAGCTAAAAGTCCATTTTTTTGTACCTCCATAAATTTCTGGTTTCAAATTAGGGTCCACGAAAGGATAGAGCGCCTAATTTGCCTAATTTACCATGGCGAGATTGATCCTTCAGATGTGATCATCTTCCATTGTGCATTCCACCTATATCCCGGAGGAGAAACTGCTGTTGAAATCTGCATGCATCTGTTCGCGTCTAGTGCTCCTTGACAACTCATGAACCCAAAAATCGCACTCGTCTGGCGCGAAAACAATTACCGCCCCCGTCTGGCACTACTAAATCTTTTTCGGGGACTTGACCCTTCACATTTACTTGAGCTTTCTACTACGCTTTAAGAAAAGTGTTGCGGTAGCGCCATCTTTGTTTTATTGGATTTTTTTTACCGAATCCGGTGGTCAAACTTGTTCGAAGGTCAATGCCCGTGGGGCGCGAGCCGACCAGTTTCTTGCCGAACAAGTGAAATCACCAGTTCAGGACTATCGATTTTTATATTCATGAAATCTCATCATCATCTACTTACTTAATTATTCATAATTTCTTATATAATTCTTAAGATTACTAGTTAATTGTGAAGTACTGCGCCTAAAAAGTATTACCGTTCGTTTCGAGATTTATGAGTAGACTTATAGTGCTCTGAAACTCATGCCTGTTCTAGTTTATGGCTGAATCTGAAGACAAAAGCCTGGAAAAAGAAGCTGAGCAGATCGAAGCAGAGCTCGGCGAAGATCACCTCGTGCGTATTGCCATGTCTAACTTCCAGTTACGGAAGCCGTCCAGAGGTCTTGTCAATTTGCATGCCAGCAGGTGAACATTGGCTTTTCTCTTGACTAATGTTACGTTAACGTCTACAATGTTGGTGTGATCTATGGTTCGTTGCTTGCAGCGACACTTTTGCAGGTGGCCGAAAATTTTGCCTTGCAAGAAATGCTGTAAGTAAGCCAATTCTTACGACTACCAAAACATAGCAAGATAACAATAGCGAACACCACACCTCCTTGTACCAAGAAAAAGGCACTTAAATGGTTTGACGGCGTTGAGCTTCCGAACTCTTAAACTTCCCATCAGAAAGTGTGTGATTGAGGGCTATTATATGATAAGGAGACAGACAATGCGGGGGAGCCATTTGATCAAACCCGATTTTCTCTATCTTTTTTGGGAATTATAGAATAACAAACAAGAAAACTAAGCAGGAAAGGCGCACAAAGCGGCTGAACGAATAGTATGGATTGGTCGATAAGCACGTCCTACTCTTCAGGAAAGGTCATTTGGTCAACCCGGCCATTTGAAATGAGATGTATATGTGTATACGCGCCTTGGGACGCTGAGCTCAAATATGTGTTCCTTATCTGCTGAACTCTTCTCTGAAAGGAATTGTGAAGCAGAAAAGCGCAGATCGCAAGTAGTAAGTCGGGGCTCACGAAAAAGAGGTCAGGGGATCGACTCCTTGGCGAGCTTATTCTTTTGCCGTTTGCAGTAAGATAGCTAGGAAGATCCCTAACATCGGTAATTGAACATGCTTGCGTATAGCTAACCGTATAAAGAAGTTAAGGGCAATTAATAACGAACTTGGGCGGCATCGCTCCTCACTAGTTTAGACGCTTGTAGCGCACGTGTCAGGCATTTTTTGCTCGAGCAAGTGTGATATTCGTAATCAGGGAGTCAGACTCTCCCTTTGAGCAAACTTCTAGCCAATTCTGAAAATTTTGACCTAACCTCGAAAATTTTGGGTAGTCAATTACTCACCGATCCACCTATCCATTATAAAAGGCTGGCACTTGGGTAGAATAAACCTTCTGTAAATTTTTCAGAACAGACAAAAATTGTGTCTGGCTAGTCCGTCTGCATACTCCGAAGATCTGCAAGGCATTATTCCTAGATAGAACCCTCTTTTCTCCTCTCCCCGTCGTCCATGATTGGTCAACCCAAAAATGTGGAGTTTGAGGAGTGGTAATCCCATCACTGCTCCGCTTTTTCTCAATTACTTCGTGACCTCAGGTTTGGCGAGAAAACTCGTTTCTGAGGGTATTTTGACCCTCTGGATACGAATATCGCATCGTATAGCCAAGGGAAAGCCTGGCACCTACACTACGGGCACCATGTGCACTAACAGACAAGGAGCACTCGAGCTCAAGAGAATTTGCTTGCAAACTCTCTGTATGTGTAGCGTGGGGCAAACACTGATGATATAACGGAATCAAAAAGTTTTCAGTTATTGCTTGGACATAAAGCAAACACAAACTCCGGCGCGGTGGGAGTGAGGGCGCAGGTTTCATGTTGGTCGGGTTGCGAATGACATTTCTCTGGTTAGTGGCTGGTCAGAGAAAAGAAAGATATTGGGAGTGGAGCGAAGGGTTACGCGTTGCACGCTGACCCTCAGTCAAAGTATTCATTGAAGCATTGGTTTTAACAGAAGGTCAACGCTGATTGCGCGTTTCCAGTCTTAGTATTTATCTTGAGGAGTGCGTCACGGCAGAATTCCTATGAGGACGATAGGAAAGTGATCATAGCGGATGGGTAGCCATACCCAGGAGCGAAAGGTAACGCTTCACGGCAGGGCGGCTTACAGACGGCGCGTGAGTACGGCGCGAAACCACTTCGTTCGGCAGCGTTAACTCCTGTATCAGAGTGGAAGGGGAATAGTTATGATCTTTCATAGGGAACAGGTAAAGGAATGTGATGTTACTGGGGAGCTGGTAAGGGGTCCTGCAGTTGTTAGAACACGTGAAGTTCCAGTGGCAGTGGCGCCTTATCAACGGAGTGATAAGGCGCCGAAATCCACTTCCGTTCAGCAAAAACCAGAGACTTCGATGTGGAAAGGGGTGCGATAAGAGCGTGCTAGATATGATACCGTTATCGTTATCGTCCCGTTTTCATTCTGGAGTGCACCTCTTATCAAGCAGCCGCACCTTCTTATCTCATCGTATCATATCTTCCATGGGCTTACACTCGTCCAACAATTACTGCCTCACACCTTATCGATTGATAACGCGAGGGTAGCAAATCCAGCGTGGAAGCCAGCGTGATCGCTTCCTTTAATTGCGGAATTTATGTTATAGATTTATTCTCTTAAGTTTCAATATGAGGTTTCTTTGATGTAATGTGTAGGCGAGTTAAAGGAATCTTTCACGGAAAAGCTCCGCCCTCATTACCACAGAAAACGATACCTTAAAGGAATCTTCCACGGAAAGAGTGATCATTTTGTCTTGTGTGTAGGATTAGTATTATCGAAACTAACGCTTATGTTCCGTTCTTTTTGCTATGCTCATGAGGCTAGGGGCCTAAGGGTATCGTTTTTCTGTGGTAATGGAGGCGGAGCTTTTTCCGCGCGGAAGATTCCTTTAATCGGTTATGCTCTGGCCGGCAGTCATTTAGCGCTGGTTAGCCAACCTGACTTTATGCTGAACTAATCTCACGAACAAGTTAACTTCGAGTCAAGGGAGGTTTACTACCATCCCAGATCAGGTAGAGCTGAATGATCAGTCAACCGTGATGTTACAGCAGTGTCGTAATGTACACTCCTACATTTTGTACGTCCGGTCTGTAACATTATTCACTTAACCTCTGTGGAAATAAAATTAGCTGAATAAACCTCTTGTTTTTAGTGCAAGGAGGTCATATCGAGAAGGCCACCGATCAAACAAGAGGTAGAAGGACCAAGACAAAAACGGACGAGCTCACAAGGAACAACTGAACGTAAGTATGAGCTTCGAGCGAGCCATTTACAGCTTTGCTGTTTGCCTCTGTTTAATAACGAAGCTCCCTCACTGCAGCACCTCAAAAGAGCCAAATTTGCAGCAGCCACAGTCTGCACATTGCTGACTTACATATCTTCACAAACAAATACTGTAAAACGCGCTTATACTGCTTTATGGCGTATACGAATGTTATGGGCGATGGACATTGGAGCATGAAATGAAATAAGAAATTGAATTACTGTGAGCGCTAAAATGTTCAAGGTTGAGTTCCGTTATTCTTATCAAGTTTGGCAGGCCCGTAGGCTGGCGGAATTCTGTGAGACCTTAGAGGAGGTTTAGGCATGACCAAGGTTTTTATTCAGCTCCTTACGTCTAATATTGCACGGTCTTGCTATGCGCTCAAACCAAGAGAATTTAAACCGATATTAGAAACGAGCATCTTTTAACAGCGGCTGGAATTATAGCGAGGTAGATGGGAACCTCCTTTTTATCTGTACGTCTATGGACTCCAGCAGTCGGTAATGTCACGCACAAAAGTCGGCGTTAGGCGCTGTTATCTTCTGGATGTATGCGAGATGAGCGATTATCTAGTGACGCTCGGGAGACGGCACAGCACGCCATATCTAGAGTACCGAATAGTTGATACCCAGTAATGATCTAAACGGATTCATGTAGTTTTGACTGGGCGTCTTGCACGTTATCTTTGAATCACCCAGGAGGGTCGGTCGCTGCGATGTTAGATGAAATCGCTAAACGGTCAAATTAAAATAGAATGTCCCACCCAAATGCAAGTCCTTCGCACATCACGCGCGGCACTCGTCCGCCAACTCGGCTTCCTTGCCGCGCTATGGACCTCCAGGGGGGTACCCGTTATCCTTATCCTGCCCCTGAAGGTTTCCTCCACGATGAGTTCAAGATGATCAGTCCCTTTGGTGCGTGGAATAGATCGGTACAGTAGTCGCATACACCTTAAACTCCCTGCTCAAAGTGAGCGAAAAGAACCCTAGGACCTTTACAAGGCTGCTTCGACCGCTTCCATTCCTCATACGCAACATGTGGTGCTTCCTGCCACTCTCATTCACCGTGCTCTCTATATTCGTTCTTCTCTGCACTCAAATTTCATTGCTTTTAGCGTAGGCCAGCTACAGGAATGAGTAGAAACTCACTTTTAGCTTCTTACTTTATTAACGATTTATTTCGTACCCTGTTTTCATTTTTGTATGCAAGAAGCACACCAGTTTGATCTTGGGCTACGCCTTAAACTGCTCGCATATTCTACATAGGGGCGGCTGTAGGCAACTGTTGACGTAATGGTGTGAGAGGCGTGCTAAATCTCCTTCAGAGTTTCTCCGGTTCTCAGACACGCCCACCTACGGCAATATGACCGCTAGGCGAGATTTTCTTCTCTATGTGCCCTGTTGCATCAGCCATCTGAGCAAATTCCTCGATAGCTATAACGCCATTTTTTGACTTCACCTCAGCGTCCTCTACATGAGCAGTAAACTCGTCCACTACTGAGGTCGATGGGCGGGAAGGGAACAACGTTTATTGAATATTTGACCGTATCTCATGCTTTATTGACACAGAGACACCTTTACTTTCAAATTTCAACAGTGCCAGCACACTACGAGAACTGCCCTTGCATGACAATTACCTCGAAGTTATCCGTGAATGAAAAGACCTGCGAAAAAAGCGACAGCGAAATTAACACCATGACTCGCAGTTGCGGTCTTGAACGCCGCCAAGTCACTTTCATATTGAGAAAGGGAAACTAGTAAAACGCCGCGAGTGTGGGAGATTCACCACTGTTTCCAAGAAATTGATGTTGCTGGAAGTTTGCCAGAAGAGAATCTTAAATTTAGGATGTAATCATGCTTGAATTATCTAGAAAATAAAATAGCAAAGCAAAATACGTCCACTTTTTCTGTTTTTCTTTCCAGGTGCCAACGGCAAGGTGATAGCGTCACGTCCGCCAAAAGTCCGAACAGAAGTATGTTTATCAAGCACTTCAAAATAACTATATATAAATAATACATATACTATGAATAAAGAGTAAGAGCTCACTAATGGAATATGCTCACGAGGAAGGTCTTTCAGGAAATGGTGAGCTTTCTCAAAACGGTTTTTTGCATGATATAGGGTACATGCATGGAACACTAAACTATAGTTCATTTTTCCTGAGCGGCCTTGTCATCTTTCACGGAATTAGAAATCCTTTTCTGTAATAGACAATGGTAGACACTCAAGCCGGCGATTGGCGAGAAGTCACCAATGACTATGTCATTAGGTTCTCCTCCTTGTCAAACAGTGGCAGGATGGGCTTCTGGTCATACTTCTGGCTGGGTCTACTGCCGATAGCTAGATCAGCTGCAAAAAACGCAACGTTGTGTGAGACTTGCCCTGCGAGGGAGAACCTCGGTTTCCGTGGTAATCACTAGGACGGACCCCTCCTATTAGCCCTTCTCCAAGCCTTCCGGGGGCAATTTGTTTATGAATTATAAAATTTCTATCGATGCACACACAAGTTCGTGAGAGACCAATACGAATTTGCAGTCGTAGGATCTCAAAACGAACATAAATCCGTAATTATATGCATGCGCAGGAGTGCACGGTCACAGGAAAACGACAATAGAAAAAAGCAAAACTTTGGCAGTGGAGTCGAACCATCAACACCGCCCTTTTCCGTCCGATTCACAGACCGCACCACTAACCACTAGGCCATCCGACTGCCGCTGATAGCATGGCTTCAGACGGCGCTGATGAATGTTCCACAATAGTTTCAATACATGCCAAGGTGATGTTTTATTTTTGACCGAATTCCGCGTTGTTTTCAATGTACAATTCATGAGAACCTTTTGATATGACACTGGTCAACGCTGTGTGCGATGTACGTCACAACAAAGCGGTTAGAACGGCAGTTCCTTAAAGAATTTTTTCTTCGCTCCTTTTTTGGTATTCAGAGGGCCGCTCAGGAAAAATGAACTACAGTTTGGTGTTCCATGCATGTGTCCCTATATCATGCAAAAAACCGTTTTGAAAAAGCTTGGCATTTCCTGGAAGACCTCCCTGGTCAGTGCTGGATGGAGACAACCATGCT